AGCACATTTATCTTGATAGGAGACTGCACTTTGTTTGCCTTTTTTTCTTTTTTTCCCTATACTTCAGGAAAAAGCCTAAACATTAATGACTACATTTCCTTCTTTATTTCACTGAGTGAAATGTCCTTGTCTGACCTTAGTTTAGAAATGAAGACAATGGGGGACAACATTAGAAAGGTATATTAAAAAAGCAGAGAATTACTAAGAGGATGAACTTTCTTCTTCTTGCTATCTGGTGGCAAGTTTGCAGAGGTCCCTTGCTGAAACTGGACTTTAGTTCCTCAGCATGGCACACTGAAGGTACAACTATACCATCTAAGTGTTGTTCCTTACCTACTTAGTTCTTCAGCAGTGGAGAAAAAGATAAACTGTAGTAAAATTTCTCCCTGAGGAGCAATTAGAATGGTGCTAATGTTAAGGGCTTGCTTCCCAACTGCGATCAACATGAAAATTTTATAATTTTTCTGAGGTAACAATCAGTAGTTCACATCTGACCATTCTTAGAAACAGTTCCTCCTATCTGAGTCCAACAGTCATCAAAATAAACAGCCTCTGCGGGAAGCAGCAAATGAAAAGTTCTCTGTATATAAGGAAAACACAAGCAAAGCATATTTCAGAGTGAGAAAGAGAACTTTAAAACAACCTCATAAAAACTATGGCCATGACATGCAGGGAAGTGTCATGAACTCAGTGAAACTCAGGTGCTGGACCTGATAAGCTTCTGTGAAAGTTCTTGCAGGACACAGAGCAGGTTCTCGTTACTAGAAAGGAGAAGACTGTGTTAAGAAAAAGGGACTCTTTTTCTGAGTTATCTCAGGGTAATGAAGGCTCTGTGACACCCATGCAATGCCAACCTGGGACAGGATGGTGTGGTCCTGATGTCGCCAGGAGGGTGTGAAGCTTGGAGCCAGCAGCCTAGTGAGATAAGCAGGCTCATGCTCAGCACAGGTGGCAGGAGGCTTTTCTGCAGCTTACTTTCTTCTCTTCTAGGAAATATTGGCAAGGAACCCTTACCTCATATTTTCCTTTCTTCTCCAAGGGCTCAGATTCAGTCTCTGTAGGCACCATAACTTTGTCCCCTAGAAGCTCCTCCAAGATGAAGACAGTTTCCCAGTTGCTATAGTGACGTGCTGGGAAAATATCTGAGTGCATGCTGTCACCAAAATAAACAACCTACGAGGGAAGCAGTGAATTAAAAGTTCTTTGTATTGGAGGAAAACACAAGCAAACTGTATTTTGCAGAGAGAGAAAAAGAGCTTTAAAACGACCTAATAAAAATTCCTCTGTGTTTACAGTTGGCCACGACACACACAAATCTTATTAACATTTGGGCTTTTATCTTCAAACAGTTCAGTAAGGAAAAGGCTGACTCCACATCCCCTCCTTGCTCTGATTCTCTGGGGGCACTGCCTGGGAATGCCCATGTAGGACTGGCACACATGATGACAACTGAGATCTTTGACTGACAGAAATAGTTTGCCAGGAAGCAGTGGAAAAGACTTAAAAGAAAATGCACAGACCAACTGGAATGCATTTTGGACAACTCTGGAAATGGAAAACACAGAGCATTTTGAGGATTCAGAACTCTTCTGTACCCAGGTGGTAGTCAACCCAGTACAGAAAAATACTACCACCTTCAAGTAGCTTTTTCATCCATGCAGAGTTAAATTAATTAAATTAAATTAATAATTAAATTAAATTAATAATTAAATTAAATTAATAATTAAATTAAAGTGATCCTAATTTTTACTGATGTCACCCTTTCACCTATTTGATTTATTTTCTCAGGGAGATGGATTCTCTGATGATAATCTGATTCTACATGAAACTTCAGAAATGCATAACAAAGCACCCAAAATAAAACATCTTAGCTAGACAGTTTAAATATTCTAACAACAAAAATATGTATACAATCCTTCCAGTTCTGGACTGCAGTTTTTTAAACTTGTATCCACCAGGAATGGTATAACATTTTAGACTCCAGAACAGGCCCATCATTGCTAAATAAATGATAACTAGTTGGTTACTAGAAGACAGTGAAGAAGAAGGCAACTTTAGCTGTATTCTGTCACTCCTGATTCAGCTTTTGTCACACAGCCAAGGAAGTAGTAACTGCATGCCCTGCCTTCCTTTTAGTGCAGGGAGTGTGCACAGACCTTTTCACATAGAGCAAGATAGGAAATACTGTGTGTTGGAAAACATGTGGAGTAAGCTAACAAAGGTGAGTCTATCACTTTGTGCATTGATAGGTCATTTCAGTAAACATCAGCAACAAAGCTGGATGCAATGGTTAGATTTGATATGTAATGGAATTGTTCTACCCCAAAGCGATGTATGCAGAACAAAAATTAGTGATTTATCACATCATCAACTGTAATGCAAGATCATCTGATGATATTTATATGGAAACAGAATATCTTTACAAAGATTTAATTCCACTTTTAACATACCTTGGGGTCCAACTTTCCAGTCATCTTCTTCAGTAGTTCATAAAGATGGATAGCATTACCTTGGGAATACCAGCCGGGCTTGTCCAGTGATAACAGAGCCTCTTGCTCTTCATCATTTTCTGCAACCACCAAGCAAAATTGCCTGCTGTTAGTAAGAGCAGAATAGGCTCCTGTATTTGTGAGACTTGTGAGAAGCTGCTTGTGCACTACTCAGCGAATGTGGTCCAGTATGACATGAAAATAACGCCAGGGTCTGGCAAGAGGTTCAAGTCCTGGTACTGACTGTGGGTTCAGTCAGGATGTTTGGTAGCTGGGGACATCTTGGATATAAAGTCGCAGTTAAGATGTGTCCTTACACGCTATCTTGTTCAGCAAGCAGGAAATAAAAAGGAGTTGAAGTAGGCAGACATCTGTAAGGAAAGCAGCAGCTGAGCCTGATCTGCAAGGGTTACAGAAAAGCTAAGGAATCAAAGCCATGAACTTTGTCTCCTAAGAAAAGCAACGAAGGTAGAAAATCACACTGCAGACTGATGGAGGACATGCTACAGATCTAAGGTGAATCTCTAGGAGAGGGCAGACTGCAAGAACGCGTACCTTTTCCAGAATTAGCCACCACTTTCTAACACTGACATAAATGCAATGAAACAGGCCGAGATAGTTCTTTCAGACATTAGCCAGCCTTAGATCAGCACATGCAATGAACAGTCTCAGCTATGATCCAGTTTTGGGCAAATTACAACACGGCTTTATGTTTAAGTACACTAAAGATGTGCATGGCAAAGTTAATTGATCCTTTTGAAAGAAGAAAAAAGAAGAACGAAAAAAGGAAAGAGATACATAGGCAAAGACAGCAAATAATCTTTTAATATTATGCATCTAAGAATTTGAATAAACACAAGATTTATTCTCAGACAAAACAATTCTATATTAAAGATATAAAGTATGAAGAAACGAGGAAATTCAAAGTTGATGCTAACAGTTCATGTAGAATTGTGTGGAAATATCTTTTCTTTTGTTCTCTTTCAGAAAATTATGGTATTAAGTAAAACAACAGCCATTAAAAATTCTCCTTCATTTTACAGTTCCTGTTTTTTAAATTACATTTGACCAAACAAATTTTCATCAAATGGAAGCTGTCAGATTCCAGCAAATCTGCTTTATTTTCTATGCATTTTCAGGCTTTTCTGTTAGGCTGGCTGAATAAGTAGACACAATTTTCAAACAACATGGATGCAGAAAAAAAGCATTTCTCAAAGCCACTCTTTTGAACTGCCACCAAAGGTTTCTGTAGCTATCACTATCTATGACAATGATCTCTCCATTTAGTCAGTCAAGAAAATAGAAGTGAAAAACAGAGATATTAATGTGGACTTTTTAGAATAACTGTTTGCAGTGGTGAATTTACAGATATAAGCTCTATGAATTGCAGCAGCACCAGGTGGCTCTGGAAAAAGGCTCTGCTTTACTGATTCTGTGGGAAGACATGGGCAGCACGGGCTGAAAAAATTCACTCTAATTACAAGGTAGATCTCTCACTGTGTGAGACCCATTACTGTCACTGTTAGCTATGGGATTCATCTCACTTAACTTGATGCATCCTGAAGTCAGACTTTAATTTATAGCTACAATTTAAACTAGTTGGCCAGGCTTCCTTGGTTGGTAAGAGTGCAATAAGCACTTTCTAGAGGTGCCAGCTCTGTAGAAGTAAAATGCTTAATTAAGCTAGAACTTCACTTTTAGACAGTGAAATTAGGGGAAATTACAAGGCTTGTCTTCCTCAATATGTGGAGGCAGCAAACAACATCTATGTTGAATTCATTACAGGAAAAATCTTGATTTTGGAAAGAGCTTTAGAAAGCTGAGAAATTACTATAATGGATTTGAACAGACAAACCTTGAATCTTGAATAATGTCTGCTTGTGCTCAGACAGCTAGCTCAAATATGTAGCAACTGTGTCAATTGTACTTCTGTAATCTAGGAGGAGAAGAAATGCACACTCTAGAGGTGTTTCAGCGGCAGCAAGTCACTAATGAGAAGGGTTTCTAATCCAGTTCCACTTTCCCTGTGGCAAAATACAGTCAGGAAAATTATTCCTTAGCACTGGCTGCTAAGGCCTCTTGTGGTAGTTCTGCCATATGAAAATATACAATAGCTTAAAAACCATTAATGACACAACTGACTCTGGCATTGTATTATTTCCTTGCAACAGCAGCTCCATGACAGTGCTTAAGAAATTTATATACTTCCTGCAGAAGTGCTGCATAAACGTGATTATGATAGTTCCAAATTTATATATCTCAGATATTCCAAGTGTTAACTTTGGCTGCACTCAGACAAGAGGAAATCTGCTGCTGACCTTTCTTCCATCTTGCTGTTATTGATTCTTAAAAGTTCACTCAAAGGTCAGAACACTGCTATGAGTATTACTGTAACAGGAAGCCACACACACATAGGCGGAGATGCTAATGCTTCAGGTCTTAGAAGTTGGGCGGAAAGGGAGATGTCCTGACAATTTCAAACAGACTGGATAACCAAAAAGAATTTCTTAGATGATTTAGATAGAGCAACTTGCTTCCTTCTGAAGTCTAATATATCATTGCAGCCTGGATTCCTGGCTGCGGAATAAAAGCGTGCCACAACAAGAAATGCAAAAGCATCAAGAGGGTAAAATTAAAATTATTAAAACCAGAAAATTATTCTAGTAACACATTCACCCAAACTTCAACAATGATTCAGAGCAATTTTCCTGAAGGGCAGATAATGTTCCTTTCTAACAACAGCAACAAAAGCTTTACTCATGCTGGGGCTATATTAAAATTGCAGGAATGGCAATTCAAATATTGCTGGGTCTAACCTTGGGAAATATATTTTGATTCAGAAATGGAACTGTCACCATAAGCAGACATGGTTCTTCAAATACTCCAACTCAATAACATGACTCAGTAAACTACTCTTCTGATTTTCTTAAACACACATTGGAAGTTTATAACACGGGCTGAGGAACATCTGGTTCCATTCTAAACAAATATGCAAAAAGTAATCACTGAAGCTTATTCCCACTTAAATGACAACTGTCGGTACTTTACTTTGGCACAGAACGGCTTCCTTGGAACGACTGCTCATGCTTGCTCCCTGCAGCATGCTCTCTGTTTATTGGCCCTACCTGCCCAGATGGGTGCCTGAACACATGAGGTCTTGAGGTTATGTCCACTCTGAATGTGAACTCAGGGTGTGGGCCTGCATTCCCACCAGCTCACCCGCAGGGCCACCCCCACACTGCTGTTTGAGCTGGAGGCCATGCGGTGCGTGTCAGTCGCAGCCGGACGACAACCTTCCAGTGAGTTGCCAGGGAGCCTATGCATTCTGGCTGAGGTGTAACTGTAGTCTGTGGTGCAGCTCCCTGGCAGTCTGTTCCTCTGCTTTCCTGTCTTTTTCCTGATACTCATAACTGGGAGTTTCGGTACAAACTTTGTTAGGCTCATTAAGCTACTGATATTTTTTGTTCCTTTGAACGGTGCATTGGAATAAAAACAACAGTGGGCTCTGTTGCCTCTCATGTACAAGGTTGTCCTCCCTCTTCCTAACGAGGGGCAACTCTCACAGGCACTCACCACATGCAGGCAGTTAGCACAGATTTTACTGAGTTCTGTGTTTACTGAGGTTCTGGTTACAACTGCCATGGGCTATTGTAAAACAAATACATATTATGGCCCACCACTGTCACATGTCTCTCTGTAAGTTAAAACAATGTCATTCTGGGCCCTGAGGATATTAATATAAGGGCCTAATTATGTTCCAGCTTGGCCTCCTGTCACAGCCTGATCCTGGATGGCATTTTCAATTCACATAAGAAGTACAAGGCCTCCTTTTCAGCAGGTATCTGAGGGCAGAAAACAACATCACTTCACAGACAAGACATGGCTAAGTAAAATCCCTCTGGTGGCTCTTCCAGCTCTAAAGGCAAGGAGATGGGACGAGATAAACTGTAGACTTTCCCTACAGACCACATCCTCCATGAAGAATGCTGGTAAAACTTCATCCACTATGGACACCACAGGTGATGGATAGTGCAACAGCACCAGAGTAGTCCTTACCAAACCTGCTAAGGATTCAACTGTATGGCCTGATAAGATGAAAGTAAAAGAAAATGTGCACTTTCAAATTGTCCTGGGCATTTAAAAACCACAGGCTCCATAGAGAAATGAATACATATATAAAATGTTTTACATTTCCAGTTTCAAGAAAATATTTTTATTTTTTGATTGAAATCTGCATTGGTGCTAAAGATTAATTGTGCTAAACATTACAATATGAAGAGACAAGATTGAAGTTTTCCTTCTTTGTAAGAAAATCATTATTTCCTTTATAGCAAGTAAGTTTCTTTTGGAAAAAATGATTACTATGCTACAGGAACTGAAAATGTTTCACTACAGATTTAGCAATTTGTTTTCAAATCTGTCAAAGCATTAATTTTATAGCCAGAAATAGTCTGGCTAATGAACAAAGCATTTCTATATAAAACATTGATATGATGAAGTACAAGCAAGGCCTTTTTCTCTTATTTCTGGAAAGCGATTCATCTGCAAGTTCATTTCTAATTATAGCTCATGCAGAGATTTGCTGAAGCCTTTTCATAATTCTATGAATTGTATTTATAACTCAGAGAACTTCTTTTGGAAAGATAAGAGAGAAATAAATGCAGAATTTCATTAATTAAATAGGGATTTTTGGAGAGGTGCAACATAAGAATGGCAACATAAGAAATAAATTTCCACCCCAGAATTGTTGTATTCTGAAATCCTACACCTCATTAGCTTTGTAAGAAGATTCCAGAGCTTCCTACATGAGAAACATGGAACTCTCAATATCCAGATAAATGTCCTCAAATGTCCCTACCAATATTATTATTGTAGTTCTCCTGGAAATCCCTACATAATTATGGAGAGAGACAAGCATTTCCAGGAAGTATTTCAAATTCTAATAAGCTACGAGAGATATTGTAACTGAGAAAACAAAACATAACAAAACAAAGCAACAATTTAAAGAACATACAGTTTAGTTCAAGCAAATGACCATAATCTTTCTTGCTAGAGTGCACTTTATTAAAAAAAGTTGGCA